ACGCCCGCAAGATCCCGTTTTATAGATGTTATTTATTTATGTATTTATTTATTTATTTTGCGCCGTTTCCCGAAGAAGCAGCGGGAACTACTCTGTTGTTGCTTGTGATCACAGCCGGCAGGCAGCAAGGAGGAGGAGGCAGGGCAGGGTGGTTACAGCTAGGGATGATCCGCGGATAAAGCATTTTTGACGAAACGAGTAAAACTCGTAAATATCTGTAATCGTGCTGAAGAAAAATCCTCATTGGGTAACTGACTGCCTTCACGCTCTGTGATTGGCCAGCAGGGGCAGATTTAGCAATTTGGGGGCCCAAGGTGAACACAGACATGGGGCCCCTTACACTAAACTTTCGACAATCTTACCTTTAACTGGATTTGCAAAACTCTCCCCTCTTCTGACATGAGTCATTTTCCCTTTATATTAGTCCTCCTCTTTTTTCCTGTATTTCCCGCCCTTTGAGCGCTTTCAATATTTGCTCTGCTTTCTTTTTCCTGTCAGGGCTCCTGTGCTTTTGCCTTTGTTATTTTTTTCTATTTTCCATTTTGGTCTATGTTTTCCTCCCTTTAAACATTTTCCATTCTTTCCTCTCTGCTTTCTTTTGATGTTCACATCGAAAAACGACGTCACTTTCAGAAGTGAAAATAAAAGCTTTTATGAAGCAAGCTGCTTCTTTCTCTTATTGGAGCCACTAGGATAACTCCATTTCAAGCTTAATGTTTTGACTATCGCTTTGAGTTTGTTACGAACACTCCCGCCTCTCTTCTTCTTCTTATTTGTGGTCTTATGGCACTTGGCAAAAACAATTTGGTGCATTACCACCACCAAATGGATTGGAGTGGAATAACTACCAATCACTTTCTGTTTGTGCATCGCCGTCTTAATAACCCTCGTATGACCATAATTATAACAGGGCCGCCTGGTATTTTTTCTTATGGCTGTAAAATTGTAATAAAAAGGGCAAAGTGTGTGTAACTCTTCTTTTTTCAGAACAACCTCAGCTTTCAGTGTGTGGTTTGTATTTAGAATTTATTTCTATTAAAGCCTTTAAAAAATCAGCTTAAAATTGAAAACAAAAAACGGAATAGAATTTTTTACATTTATTACTGAACAGGAACTTCAAAATTACTGTGCAAACAATATAAACTTTGAACTGTAATGCATCTATTCTTTAAAAAGTTTGAACCTTGGTATCATTTTTAGCTGTTTTTAAGACCATTTATTTTTGTAAACTTTCAGATGTTTTTATTTGACGGTAGACCTTGAAGCAGTTTCTCTCCAGCTGCAGGCAGAGTCCTGCGCACCTCACACCGCCATGGAGTGCTTCTCTTGTACACCGTGCACTGCTATACCAAAAACATGTTTTAGCAAAAATAATTATTTATTGTAAAAAGATAAATAATGCTGGAATGAAGCTGAATCTTACAATTAGCAAATAGTTGAGGGTTGTTCAAATAAAAGAATAGAAAATAAAGACTGAACAAATGTTCATACCCTGGTTCACTGGAGATCCGTCCTTCTTCGTGGTCACTGTGTTGAGATGTAAGCCTTCTGGGACACCTAATAGATCATGCCGATTTTCTTTGAGGCATTTCTATAAATTTCATGCTGGCTTTTTATGCTAATTAGCCTCCCTGTTCCGTTATCCGCTTTCACCGCGGCGCTGCACTCCGTTTCAATCAGGCTGTACAGCAGGATTTTCATAACTGATTGCTTCATGCTATAGATCATTGGAAAGCTGCCTTTATGTACTTTTAGGAACCGTTGGAATTTTTTCAATCTGATCAGCCATTCAAAAGTTATAAAACGGAGCATTTTGGATGACAAACTCAGCACGTCTTTGAATCTGTGTTGTGATTCATTGCGCTCCAGACAGGGAATCCCGGTGGCTACAGTAATGTATTGTATATGCACGAAAAGCTCTATTTTTAGAATTTTGGAATTTTAATGATATCTTGAACGGTTCAGGAATTATGATAATGAGAATTGCGCATGTCAAATCCTGTCGGCGGCGACAGGTTGGTAATAAGAATATTGGGGCATTAACAGAGGGGTGTCGGCGGTCAGGGCTAGGGGCCCCCCAACACAAGGGGGCCCCAGGCGGCCGCCGACCTGTGCCTAATGGTAAAACCGCCACTGTTGGCCAGTCACATGGAGCGCCCGCCCCTCTCTACACACAAAACTCTGCTCCGGCCCACGCACACACACAGACAGTAACGGATCTCTCTGTGCTTGCTTCACTGTTGCTCACGTTTCTTCGGTACTCCCTAAGTTTTCTTCAGCTCACCTCTTTTTCTGTTGAATATTTAAAGTTACTTTTTTCATAACGTACATGGTGCATTTGACAAAACAGAGCTGAAAACGGCTCGTGCATGAGTCGGTCACTGTCTCTCCGCTCCGGTCGGGTCCCCCCCCCCCCACCCCCCCCCCCCCCCGTTTCTCTCTCTCTCTCTCTCCCTCTCTATCTGTCTATGTCTCTCTCTCTCTCTCTCTCTCTCTCTCTCTCTCTCTCTCTCACACACACACACACACACACACACCAACATTGTTTTGTTTAACTGTGTGGGAAAAATGCCAACAACGTTGGGAAAAAATCAGTTTAATCAAATTTAAAAAAAAAAGAAAGTTGTGTCTGGTTCTAGTATTTCATATTTCCTAGTTCCTACTGCATGAGTTCAGATCATGCACTTAAATATTAATGTTCTGATTTTATTGAAAAACTTGTTCTGTAACAGTTCCTTTACTATTGTGATCAAAACTATTTCATCTCAATTCTGAGGCTGCTCTGAAAATAGTTTTCAAATAAACAATACACATAGCAACTTCTGATCAATCCATGTCACGATTTAAAATAATGTATTGATGTTAACCACACCCACTAATTTCCAAATAACAAATAAGAGGTGCATTCATCTGTGTATCTCCTTTGATTCACATTAGTGATATTTTCAGCACCAGAACAGTGAAGCAAAGAAAGATTCCTGAGTTTGTTAGTAATTTTATTTATTAGGTGCATCTGATCTGTTCTATTTTTCTCTGAAATCAGATCAAATCAGTGCTTCTACGGGTTGTCTCCTCTCTGCACTAGAAAAATTTACTTTATTATAATGTTCACTGTAATGCATCTTGATGTTCTTAACAAATAAAATAAATCAAAGATATTGGTCATTAATGCCAAATATGTAAATTTGTGTTTCAGTCATTTTTATACTGGCTTAAAAATACTTCATTAAGTCTACTAAGCAGGGGTGTAGAATGTTTTTAATAGGGCCAGCCCAGTAATGATCTTGGACCAAAATAAAGGGGCCAGAAAGTCAAATAAAGGGGGGCAGAAGGAGATGTTTTTCCAGACGCCAAGAAAAATTAAATGCCAAATCCCCCCTGTAAAGTGTGTCACTGAGAGTTTAAAACAAAAATTATTCTTGTGCAAATAGTGGTGTATTCACCTTTAATACTAGTTACCACCACCACCACCACAGCTGGAAGAATTCCTAGGGGAAACACTGTCACTGCTTTAACACTACCATCTAATTGTGCTTCAGAAATCTGAGAAATTATCAATTTGATCAGATTTGAAACATTGCTGTAATAATATAACTACATTTATCCCTGAATGTCATCAAACTTTTCTTTCATCTTTTAACTGAAATAAATAGACAAAAATTCTGCTACTGCTTAATGCAGTAGTTCAAACCTTTGAGGCTGGGTTTCTCAACCTCACTGTGAAGAAAAATAGTTTGATTCTGACCAGATTGATGAGCTAACTGATAGTCACAGTGAGGCCAAGACCTTTTTTTTGCCATCTTAATCTTTCTTTTATTACAAGATTATTTACACACAACTCTAGATTATTTTTTACAAACACCAGCACCCTGGTGCACATCCAACTTTGGTCATTGCTCCCCTCAAACTAGCATTATCTAATAAATCCAGGCAGAATTATCTTTGTTTTTCCAAATTGTAACATTTGATGATTCATATCAAGAGTTTTGGCCAACCTGAACGTACAGAAATGTATCATTTATTAAACTAGAAGAAGCTTCTAATGTGTCTTATTCTAATATAATTTTCTCCTGATGAATAAAAATTATCGTACGTGCTCCACACACACCACCATGTAACACAGTCTGTCAGGAACACTGATCCATTTCTTACACACCTTTCCAGATAAACAGCATGGTAACTTAGTGGGAAATGTTTAGTTTGCACACAGACACAGCTAATAGGGAAACGTTAACCTGTCTGAGAGCCTCTAAGGCAGCTTAAGAGTCATTTAGGTTCTTAAGTTTGGTTAATCCCAACCCTCAACTCTTCCCACACAGTGTCTTATTTCTGTTGAACCACTAATCCTACTAGTCCTGATTGACGCACAGAACTGTGGGCCAGGAACTTAAACAGCTAAGGTAAAGCTTTGGCTCTGAGTCAGACATCTTTGGACTCCAGACCAAATGACAGATTTCAAACTGAAACTTTACAAACCCAATGAATGGGTCTTGAGAAAGTGCTGAAAACTTAAATTTAGTTTGTGTGAAAGTATTAAACATTTATAAAACGTACATACATTTACACTTATAAAGCAACTGTTGCTTGTAGGTCAGTATGGTGAAATGAAATTCTGTGAAGTTTGTTGTCTGATGTAACACACACACATCCTCATATATAAAGTGTGTACATCAACACACAACAGCAAGTCCGGTCATGTTTGATGGCCATCATCACAGTGAGTCAGACACACAAACCTTGGTGTTCAGTGCAGACACTTCCAAATCATCCCACCAGCTTACAGGCTCGCCAGAATTTGACTCGGCATCTCCAAGACTTCAGGAGGAGGCTGAAGTTAAAAATAAATACAGTCTGGCTTCAGCAGGCAGAACATGTACCCACGCTCAAATGTTAGTGAAGGATTAGTTCTAAAAGTTATATTTCCTCAATGTGATGGTTTCATTTGAGGAACACAGAGTGAATCCTGGTCCAACATCCTGACCTGCACGCTTGTGTTTCAGGGGGGCTTTCTCCGAGGTGGTTTTGGCCGAAGAGAAGAGGACGCACAGGCTGGTGGCTATCAAGTGCATCCCCAAGAAGGCGTTAGAAGGCAAAGAAAACAGTATTGAGAACGAGATTGCAGTCCTGCACAAGTAAGCATGAACGCACACTAAACTTCTTCAGCATTGATTTTGTTTTGTCCAACATGATGGGTGTTCCACCACTCTTGATGTCATGGCAGTTGTTATGAGGTACCAGGGCAGCTGTGGCTACATTGTAGCTCATCCCCACCAGTGTGTGAATGTGTGTGTGAATGGGTGAATGACTGATTGTGTTGTAAAGCGCCTTGAGGGGTTCCAGGACTCTAGAAGGCGCTATATCAAATACAGGCCATTTACCATATGCTGGAGATGAGTTCAGATGTTTATATTTTTGCTGCTTTACAGTCATGCTTAACTTCATTTTACCTGTCACACTGTTGGAGGATTTCTTTTCATATTGACTCGTAAAGTTAGTCAGCAGCATTTTAATCAATTAAAGTCATGTAGGTGTAAATTACTTGTGCAAAATGACAAAATACAAGACAGTGATTTAATCTATGGTCTGTCATTTTTGTTTATTTGAAAACAAAACAAAATGCAAAGTTGAATCGATCTGCTGCACCCATCTCTTTCCAGCTCGTTCACACGTTTTCTGCACATGCGGAGGAGATATTTGTGCTTGCTTTCATACCAATACAAATATAGTGACAAAAACACATTTTAATTGTGGAGTGTTTCACATGTCCCCTCCTCATATGTGGGGAATTACAGGTCACAGTGAAAATGGCTGATCTACATCAGTCCCAAGTTATTTTTAGAGGTCTTGTTGCCTAGGTTACAGCAGAAACACAATATACAGCTATGATCCCTCCAGAGGTGAGGGCTGTGGAATGAAAACGGTGGGGGTTAGTTAGCAGCTCAGCTACAGTTGTGACAAATTAAGTCAGCGGTGGTGAACTTAGCTGGAGGAACAGGGCTGGCTATTTAGAAAGTTGGTATTGCCTCATTTTAACACCTCAGATAACACACACACTTCTCAGAGCAAAGGTCTGAGTAGTTACATGCTTCCTCATATCTTCATACATCATAACAGAGCCTGTAGCTGCTGAACAGTGGGGAGGAGCTACATGTGTACACTCTTAAATGCTGTAATATATCGGGGTATGGGGTAACTTAATTTTCTTTAAAAGGGACATTTCTCCAGACTACAATTGGCAGTCAGGGCTTCTTTCTGGAGATTTTAGTGCCACTATTTGCAGCCAGTACAGTTTAATTAAAAGCCTCAAATTTAAAAATACTCACACAGACTGGCTTACTGTGCTTATCAGTTGATGAGTACGCACACAGCTTGCATATGCTACAGCTTCACAGCTTTTCCCTGGATCTGTGAAAGCCGACTCTCTGGGAGATAAGTGTTTTTGAAACTGTTCAGCCACAGGGTTGCCATTTTCTCTCAAATAAACTTCAGAATATAGTAAAAAAAAACAATTAAGATAATTCTGCTGTTGTGTCCTTGGGCAAGACATTTCACCCACCTTTCCTGCTGGTGATGGCCAGAGGGACCGGTGGCGCCTGTTTTCAGCAGCCTCACCTCTGTCAGTGTGCCCCAGTGCAGCTGTGGCTACAATGTAGCCCAACACCATCAGTGTGTGAATGTGTTTGTGCATAAATGAATGACACACTGTGGTGTGAAGTGCTTTGGAGTCCCCTGACTCTGAAAGGTGCTGTACAATCATTAATAAGTCAGAGTCCAAACTAAGCGTGCTTGGGTATTTATCTCATGAAAACATCTACAGGAAGAAAATGTGATGCTCCGATGGAATCTGCAGGTCATGAAAGTTGTTATGAGGTATCAGGGCCTGTGTTTGTGTTGACCAGGGGAAATGGCTGGCTTAGTTGGTTCACGGAGCATGCATAGAGTACCTCTTTGTTTAAATGTGGCTCTATAAATGGGAATTCTCAACCTGCACAGAGCCAGTGTAGAATGAGTAACTAAACGTTAAACAAAACACCAGTGTCCTCTAAAATGAACATAGTTTCACAGGTTTCCTGTCCTAATAGGTGGTGTACTTTACAACATAGCGCCCAGCTTTAAAGTGATGTGAAACTGCTCTTTTAGTTGGACCACAGGACACAGTTGTCAAGTGTTCTATAATGAACATATCAATATAATTCATTACCAAATCTCACCTCCTGTCAAGGCAGAGCCTCAGCCAGTGTTCTGTCTTTATTTTGAAACATCTTCACTGTGAATGTGATGTTTGCTTCACAACTTTAGACTTGGTTGCAAGACTCCTCTGACTCTTGAGTTAGTTTTGCATTTAATAGCTGACCCAAGGTACAGAGATAAACAGTTTCTGTTTTTGCACCTGTTTAAACACAGCCGCACAGATATTTAGTTTAAATGCAGAATGTCTGCTGCACGTTCTACAACCAGCCTCAGGTTTGTGACTGCTTCCTCTGCAGTTTCATTCCATAGTGCATCCTTGACTGGGTTCAGCTCTGTGCCTACATTGTTTTAAGCAGATGAATGAAGGTGTCCATGCATTGGGAGATTCTGCTGTAATCCAGCATGAGCTCAAGCTGGTCCGTAAAGGTTACCTCTATGCCAGTACATCTCAGTCAACAATTGTTGTTCTCAAACAGCATCATGGAAAAGAATTTGTCCCTTTTACATTTTTCCTGTTTTTATTTTTTGACGTACTCACCAAGTCTTCCCACCAGATGCGTAACCCTTGTGTAACATCCACTAAGTGTAGTACGTTGCAATTAGATGCCATATTAGTGGATGGATCCATTCCCACCAGCATCCCAGAAGCTGCTAAATGTGTGCTTTGGATCTATTTGCTATGCTTCCAAGCTCTGCAGTTCAGATCAAGCCAATCAGGGAGTGAAGCACAAAAGCAGTGTTAAACATCTGGAAACTTTCAAAATAAAAGTCACAAACAGATTTCCAGTTGATTAACTTGTTAACAAAAAGTACGTCATTACCCGGGACACCTCTGTAGACGAGGTAAACAAAACAAAAAATGAACACAGATCTTTTCAATACATGCTGCTGACTTTCACCGTTCTTGTTATTGTTTGAACTGCGAAATCACACGTGGTCCTGCAGTTTTCCGGTGGTTTTGTGGCCCAGCTGCTTGGAATGCTTTTGCTGCCATTTCGCAACTGAAACGCTTCCAGTGTGAAGAGGGCTCACGGGTAAAATGTGTCTACTGCATTACGTGGTGCTTACACATCCAGTGATTGTAAACAAAGTTAATTATCAAAGTTAATCCCACAGATTAACGCAACGCATTCATTTATTAAGGAGAAAAATCCAACCAGTTTTGATATGAAGACCTGTAGACTCCAGTAGTACAAGTGTATATGTTCACACACACACACACACACACACACACACACACACACACACACACACACACACACACACACACACACACACACACACACACACACACACACACACCTGTACAAACTATTTTACTATTATTTCCTGTTGGTGCACACGGTATTGTCCATTAAATCCAGTTGTGATCTGAAAACACAAACGGATAAAAGATTTCCAAAAGCAACACATCATCCCCTGTTCCAACGAAACTGAAACTAAAGAACAAGAGAACACAGAATAACATCTCTACAGGCCTTATTTGGTTATGGTTAAGGTCAGAGGTAATGACTCAACAATAAGAAAGATAAGGCAAAAACAGCCTTCATTAGAAAGACCCAAAATTATTTTTAGCTGACCAAAAAGAAAGCGCAGGTTTTGTCTCAGACTTGTCAGAAAAACATTCACTACAGCATCACTTCTAAACAGAGTTTAAATGAGCAGATGTCCACGTGTTTATTTTTTTTATTGGTATTTATTTGGGACATTTGGGCCTTTGGCCCATTTTGGTATGTGGAAACAAAATAAAACCATAAGGAAGGAGATATCTGATGTAGTGCAGTCATAAGATAGAAAGCTACAACACCATTCTTGAGTCGGTGAGTCATTTTCACACTATCGTCACGCCACAGACAGATGTCAAAGGTCAGCAGAGCAGAGGCTTCGGCCAATTAGGGAGCTGCATACCTTTGCATGGCGACACCTCCTTTACATCCAGAAAGATGAATTGTTCCAACCCTTCTTGTACGTTTTTAAATACATACATACAGCTTCGTTACACTTTTGAAAATGAAAAATAATTGTTTTTACCATTTGCAAATGCTAAAGTTTTGTTTTTGTCTAAATATAACTTTTACATTTATGCAAGATAATATATCAGATTTTCTTCTTTCTCACAGGATTAAACACACCAACATTGTATCACTGGAGGATATCTTTGAGAGTAAATCACACCTCTATCTTGTCATGCAACTGTGAGTATTCACATATGTGCATCACTGTGTGGTTTCTGTTGGTGTGATGTGTATTTCAGTTTGTGCCATTACACACACACACACACGCACGCACGCACGCACACACACACACGCACACACTGAGGCTACCCATGAGCATCAGTGGGGAGTTTGCCCTCACACCAGCACACTGTCGGCGTCACGCCCACCTCCACAGCTAAAATGTCACAGACAGGAATCAGATCAAGGAAGGACCAGAGCCTGGAGCACTGTCGACTGCGAGACTCCTGAAAGTATAAATAACATATGTGTTAATCACACTAAAGGAAGAAGAAAGCAAAAACAGAACAGGGTGTTGATTCAGAACCGGTGTTCCCGTCAGTACATGTTTATGTACTTATGAGGGTTTCGTGTGACTTTAACATCTAAACTCTGTAACTCTTTGAAGTGTGTTTTCAGGTCACAATTAATGCTGAAAATCTACTTTTTTCTAAGTAGGTCATTTATATCCTTGAACCCTCTGGAGGCAGGCGTTGCAGATTTGCAACAGTTAAAACCTACCTGGTTACTCCACATACGTATTTCATGAGCAGTTTTTAACTCAGAAGTACCCCTGAAGGACTTAGTTGTTCATCCTTTTATCAAAACTTATTTAGAGCCTGAGAGGGTTGACTGTTTCTGTTTTTGTACCAGAGTAAGGTCTCCATCTAGTGGCTAAAACCAGTGTCTACCTTTTTAACATGAACTGCTTTATGTTTTTATTTGATTGTTGGAAACTTGCTTCTGAATGTTATCAACAAAACAGAAATGGCTTTCTTTGTTCTTGTATTTGGTTAGTAATAAGTTCCTGCACTTTACTTCCTCTGACCCTTTTCATGCTTTCAAACTTCCCCTGTCTGATATCTCTCATGTCCATGTTGTGTGTCTGTGTTGATGCTGACAGGTTTTGGTAAATGCTTGTTTTGCTGCAGGGTGTCTGGAGGTGAACTCTTTGATCGTATCATAGAGAAGGGATTCTACACTGAGAAAGATGCCAGTAAGCTCATTCAGCAGATCCTGGATGCTGTCAAGTACCTCCATGAGCTGGGCATTGTGCACCGCGACCTCAAGGTCAGTCAGGCCTGCACGCTTGTTGTTTGTTACACTATAGGGTATAATGTTTGTATTTGTTGTTTTGCATTGATCCTATAATGTCTAGCCGGAGAACCTGCTGTACTACAGCATGGACGAAGACTCAAAGATCATGATCAGTGATTTTGGTCTTTCTAAAATCGAGGGCTCCGGCAGCGTGATGTCAACAGCCTGTGGAACACCTGGATATGTTGGTAAATGAGTCAGAACCCATTTTAAAATGAGCTGATCTGTTTTACATGACAAGGAAACATAAAACCATGTGATGTCATTGCACTGAAACATGTCTAGATGTACAATATTATAAAGTTTCAGATGTGTATCCTGACTACGGATCTGTATCTTGTCTTTTCCCTTTAAGCCCCTGAAGTTCTGGCTCAGAAACCCTACAGCAAAGCAGTGGACTGCTGGTCTATTGGCGTCATCTCTTATATTCTGTAAGTATTAGGGATGCACCGATATGAACTTTTGGGCCAATACCAATATTCAGTATTGAAGGTATGGTGGAGGATGTTTCTGAATTACAGGAAAGATCCGCCCTCTCCACGTTTAGAAAAAAATGTGCATGAGAGAGAACGCCCAGTTATCCTCGTGTTTACAAGTAGCTGCTGGCCTTGCAGCACTTCTTCTAGCAGTAATCGAAAATTAATTTCTCCAAACAGCATGCTGAACTTTAGCTCACCTGCTGAGCAGAAAACCGGCGACAGAGGCGACCTTCGCTTTGCGCAGGAAGTGGAAACTTCCCAGCAACGAGCACTTATGACGACAACCTTGCGTGAATAGTTCACCAGAATAATTGACAGTTATGCGGACCAGAAAGAAAAAGATCCTCCGCTATACCTTTAATATTGCTGTTTTGGCCAATAACCGAAATTTGCCTATACTGATATACATGTGTTTGTGTATATAAATTCTGTACACACACCACACACGTTTATGCTTCTGAGATGATTACCATCACTGTCACATGGCTAAACAATTACACATCACCAGTGATGGGAATAACGCCGTTTAAAATAACGGCGTTCTTTTTTTGGGTAACGGAATAATCTAATTATTTACTTTTCCCACTGTTGCAACGCCGTTACCGTTACTGAAGACGGAAGGTTGTGCGTTACTATGTGCTTGTCGAACGTTGAGCAGCAGTGTGAGGCTTTCTGACCGCCACACTTCAGCCGCAGCCAGGGAGAGAGAGGTGTCGGTAACGCACTTACAAACACGATGATGATTGGCCGGGTGGGCGGAGACCCTCCATGTTCTCACGGTCTCATTCACAGCCTGCTGTAGACACTACAGAGCAGTGATGGGAATAACGCTGTATAAAATAACCACGTTACTAAAAAAAATAATTTTTTAGTAACGAGCAAACTAATTAATTCAGTCTTCTTTTATCAAAACGTCGTTTCTGTTACTGATAAAGACATGCGTGCGTTAAGCAGCGCGGTGTGTTGAAGCTGTCGTCAGCTGATCAGGAGCTAAAGAGGCAGATGTTTTCATCCAAGCGCATCACGGCCCGTGAAGAACGAGGAAGACGTGATGAATAGTCTACGGCTGCAGGTGTGGATCTGCAGCCGTGCCCATCTTAGCGTGACAGCGGGACGTCCCGAAGGTCCGCTCACCTGTTCACTGCTCAGACGTCCTGATCTTCTACCTTCCTAGATTATCCAGCTGTAACCTGTTTCTGATCATGTCTTTAGTCCCGCTGTAACGCTGATGCATCAGTCTCAGACGTCATGGAGCTCAGGTGTTATTAGAACTACCTGTGTGTGTTTACCACCCGGCTTCAGCTCTTCTGTGTTTGGGTCTGACCCAAGTTAGTAAATGTAAGTCCTCCATCAGAGTTGTGCCTCTTCTAGTGTCATTTTAAAGGATTTTATTTATTTATTTAACCATTACTAGATTACCAGCAACAGAAATGCTGCTAAAAACACACAATTATGTGAAGTTGGAAAAATTAAAATGCAAATTTACATTTATTTCAGTAATTTAACTAGACTGAGAGACCATTTAAAGGCTCGGGAACCTTTACAGGTGTTTCTATTTGCAATTTTAAATTTTAGCTGATCGGGGTCTTGTTAAATATCACACAGTGACATTTTAATAGTCTAGATAAGTGTAATGTTCCTGCTAGTAGTTCCTCCTGTTAAGTGCTTATTTATTTAAATTATTCAGGTTTATAAAAACTATTTGGACATACATTTTGTTATGTTCCAGTCATTAGTCATTTATATTTCACTATTGTAGTAATTTATAGTAAATGAAGTAAGTTTAATTATGAGGGGAACCCATTTTTATTGCATTCTTTAATGAAAAAAGTAACTAAGTAGTTATTTTTCTTGGTAATTAGTTACTTTTATAATCTTGTAACTCGGTAACTAACTGAGTTACTTTTCTGACAAAGTAAATTAGTAACTATAACTAATTACGTTTTAAAAGTAACGTTCCCAACACTGCACATCACCACCGTTACCCTTTGAAACAGATAAATTAACGAAAACAAGATGGAAAAATATCGGTTAACATTGGCCCAGTTTTGCCTTTCGGAACAATACCGATGCGTTTCAAAATGACCAACATCGGCCAATATAGTTGCTGATGCGTTTTCCTTTTATTAGTTTACTTTCAGAATCAGGAAATTAGAAAACAAAAGTCATCTTAAAATAGAATGACTACAAACAAACAAACAAAAACGGTCTAATTTGTTGGATGGTTTACTAACATTTGGGAAACCAAAACAAAAAATTGTTGGCACAGAACTTTAGTTTCTGACATTTAATTCTATTAAATGCTTCTTATTGTTTTGAGCAGTTTTACCCTTTAGCCTTTCTGCTGCTGTCTCTCACTCAAGTTTATGTTGCATGTAGTACTCTAGTACACTTACAAGTTTCAATGAAATATTAAGTTTAGTAAATGATTGTAGTACTTAATAATTAGCTTTAGTTTACCACCGTAGAAGCTGCTCCCATCAGACAGACTAAAGCACCACGCCCTGTTCTCTCCTCTTATTTACAGGCTGTGTGGATATCCTCCTTTCTATGATGAAAATGATGCCAAACTGTTTGAGCAGATCCTGAAAGCAGAGTACGAGTTTGATTCTCCTTATTGGGACGATATCTCTGATTCAGGTATTATGTTATTTACTATAAAAGTTGAGCCAAACCTCTTTAAAGGTGTCTATCTGTTCCATGAATTGATCATAAACAAGTCATCCCAAAGCTTCAGTGCTTTCCTTCTTCATCTTCTCTCTATTCATCTTCTAAAATATCTAAACGTTTACAGATTTGAAGACATTTGCTTCAGGTGTAAAACGTTTAAAGCTGTATTATTATAATTATCTTTTAATTACAGCTAAAGACTTCATAGTGCATCTTATGGAAAAAGACCCCAATGTCCGCTACACCTGTGACCAAGCCCTGCTGCACCCCTGGTACGGCTCTTGTTCCTCTATCATGATTAAAATTACATTAAACGATCTGCCTTCTCAGTGTTCTAAAACCTAAATAAAACAGGTGAACTACGTCGGTGCTTGGGTGATTTCCTCACCCGTAGCTGTGGTTGTATGATATCTGCATGCTCACAAGCACTTCCTATTTTTCTCTCAGGATTGCAGGCGATACTGCCCTGGACAAGAACATTCACGAGTCTGTGAGCGCACAGATCAAGAAGAACTTTGCAAAGAGCAAATGGAAGGCAAGTCAGACTCCATTGTTGAATGAAAAAAATGCTGTATTGTTCTTTTTTCCTTCATTGACCGAGAAAACTTGATCATAATTCATGTTGTTTTTATTTAATACTAAATAATGCAGCCTTCTTGAATTTTCCTGATCTTAGTTGATGCTAATAAAGCTGCTTCGTGAGGTTTAACTTGTTTTCCTCCCCAGCAAGCGTTCAATGCCACTGCCGTGATCCGTCACATGAGACGCCTCCAGCTGAGTACTGGTAGCGACGGCGTCAGCCCCACCTTAACCAGTCAGCTCCAGACTGACCTGCTGATGCCAGAGGAAGATCCAGGTTACAGCTCACACTTTATCTGCTGAGCTACTAGTTTATTCACCAAATTAACTGAGTCCTGATGCATCTCTCTCTCTCTCTCTCTCTCTCTCTCTCTCTCTCTCTCTCTCTCTCTCTCTCTCTCTCTCTCTCTCTCTCTCTCTCTCTCTCTCTCTCTCTCTCTCTCTCTCTCTCTCTCTCTCTCTCTCTCTCTCTCTCTGCAGCTTGCTGTGAAGGGGGGTGCTCCCAGAACATGGACAGCGGCGTAGACCCCCTGTCCAACTGCTCCTACCGCTGCCACCCGGCCAGCAATGTGTGATAACGAGACCCTCTTCTTGTACCATTAGATCCCGAGTCACGTTCCTGGTTTAACTTCCTTGTTGGAGCCAGAGGCTCCATCCCCCCCCCACCCCTCTCTCTATCTGCCTGGGAATACAGCGTCATTCCAACCTGTGGCCTGCAGGGGGAGCGAGACGGTCAAGCCAGGGAGGGGAAAAAAGTTGAAAAGGAGGTGGAGGAAGACTTGTAGTTAATCAGGATGACGCACCAGAGCGGATCATTTTGGGATGAGGTGAAATGGATACCAGGGAAGGAGGGGAAAACGACCTCCCCCGTCCTCATGTCGGTGGGGTGGGGTGGGGATTGTTTTAGCAGAAGCAGGACAGAACAGAACATGTAGGACATGGTTTTTAAAGCTATTTGTTTTTGTATTTTTAATTAAACCTGGCTTTATTGTTTTGTATATTTTTGTGTTGCTTTTCCCCACTTTTAGATTTTGGAGCATCAGTCTCTCCACTGCATCTGCATGACTAGTAGACCGTTTCCCACTGCATGCTTTAGCATAAAAATCACATCCCACCACAAAGATGGAGCACTTTTAATGGGGATATTACAGAATAGGTTTATCTATGGACAGATTTATTTAATATGCAGGCTCTGTTGTGGCATCAGTGGTTTATGAAAGAAAAGGCTTCTTATGTTTATCTTTTTTCTAAATCTCAACCCTAAACTTCTTTAACAAAAGATTTATTCTCGTCTAAGGTGCCTTTACGATATTCACTATGATGGATTTACTGGTGGTAGCCTGTTTCTGAATAAAAGGTTTTTCTTTCTGTAACATATTTTTATGTGTTGTATGTTAGTTTAATGGTAGTTCTTCTATGCTATATTTAAAAACAATCTCAGATTGGATGTGTCTGTGCAAAGAAGAGATATTTTGTTTTGTGCTGAATAAAAATGTTCAGTATCTGACACGAAATGATCAGTCAGTTCAGATGTTAAAACTTGTCTAAAGATACATTTTAGACTCAATTGAAAAATGAAAATCATATTGTTTTATGCATCTCTCATGGCCCTGTATAATCTTCACATGCAGCCTTTTTAGAAAATTAGAAACATGCTCTAAACCTGAATATGCATCACAGACTCTACGCTTTTTTCTCTCCAGTATTTCAGCTCCCTTTAAAGCCTTAAGTGTTGGTGTTGGTTCATTTTTATTTTGTTGTAATTTTACAAGAAAACTCAAATTGCTTTTTATCTCACATCTCTGGTTGAACTGCACGATCTGAACTTCTTGCAGTGAAACAGCCAAAGTTTTTTTTAAACTCCAGCTTCTCTCTCAGATACAACAATAATCTTTTCATGTTGCTTACAGCAGCAAAGGGAGACTGATCTTTATCTCAAAGTCATGCAGCCCTTTAAAGAGCAGAAATAAAGGGTATTTAAAGAAGACTTGATTGTGCTGCTTCTTAAAAAGTATCTGAGCTTTACTGTGTGGTGTTGTTGGGTAGTTGTTCAATGTGTTTGGACAGTGATGCAACTGGTGAATCAAAACTGTAAAGTGCATTTAATAGAGTCGTTATTTTTTCAGAGAAACATTGTGTGTGGATTGTTAGTATGTTCTGATGTACTCTGTAATGGAAACAGAAAAGCACAAGAGTGTGTGGGAAAGATCCGGTCTCGGATTCAGTGTTTCTGATAAGTAAAACTGTTTTGATGAATTACCAAAAATGATGCAGCTCTGATTTAAGCTTCTGTGCTTTCCCCACGTATGATGGACTAATTAAAGTTTTAACTCTTACTTTCACAAACAGACTGGAAATTTCTTCTTCAAATTCAAAGATTCAAGATGAAAATGTGCGAGAGAGTAAAAAATATCAAACAAGGTTAAAGAACTTTACATTTTCTGTGCTCAGACTAAAATCTACAAAGGGTAAACTTAAACAAGCGCCCTCTGGTGGCTGGCTGCAGTACCATTTTAAGCCCCGCCCTTCTCCATGTAAACGAATGAGACATTCCTGTCTAAAATAAATAAAAGTTCATGTTTAGAGGTGTTGACTCCTGTTTATTGACTTCATGGTGCACCCCTTCTGAACACTTCTTAGCCTGTTTAGTAATGTCAGTGTTTTGAATCAGGAAACAAGTTTCAGTAAGATAATTATTTAGTTTATTAGGTGGATAGAATGCACAAACTTACCAGAAACGATGTGGAAAAGTGGTAAAATCATCAATAAACTGATTAATCATGATCATGATAGTTTGGAATAACGAGTCCAGGTCCTAACCACACCAAGGCCTGATTACAGCCAGGCCCGTCTCACATTCACCCAAAAGACCCGTGATGATCCAAAAGTCTTTTGGGGAAATAATCTGTGGACCGACTCATTAGACTAAAGAGGAACTTTTGGGAAGATGTGTGGTTACATTCATTTGTATCATGTTCACTTGTAATTAGTTATTTTATCCTTCAAAAGAACATGATTATAGTAGCCATCACACACTGGTGAAAATACATCTCTGTACTTGACCCATCCCCATGGGGAGCGGTGAGCTGCAGCAGTGGCTGTGCTCAGAAACTATTTGGTGGTTAAAATCCCCCGATCCAACATTTTTAAAGTCTTTGGTATGACCCAACTGGATCTGAACATCGATATCCTAGTCTCAGAGTGGAGACGCAAACCACTGATGTCTCAACTAGTAGAAGCTAACTTTTAGCATTAGCAACTCCACTACACAGAAGAACTCCTTCAGATTTGAGTTATTTGTGGAGATAAAACATCAACATTGCAACACAAACATAGTCAGTGGTAGAGTTGTGTTGTTGTTAGCCATTCTGAGGCACAGTGTCTGAATATCAGGAAATTAAAGGGACACTTTGCAACTTTTTCAAATTTTCAAATCATTTTCTTGAGCCAGTTTGTGCTAAAATGACCCTTTACAGGGTTAACGAAAGGCCACTCAGCCCCAGTCGCCCCCTGTGGCCAGAATATTCCACTTGCAAATTCTCGGTTGCTGGTCCGGTCTGCTGGACTTAAAAAAATTGAGCTCACATACACTACAGTCTGGCTCAGCACATTTTCTGCATGTTTTAAGTGCGATTTGCAGCCGTCTTAGCCAGATTCCTCGTCGGTCGGGACAGATGAAGCTCCGCGACGGCGGGTGTGAGCTGTCACATGGAGCAGAGATGCGGAGCAGTGAGACTGAATTCATGGCAAAAGTGTAGATATTGCAGCAATCAGTGACAGATTGTTGCTTCTCTAGTTTAGCGGGTTCTTGTGCATAAAGGAGGAGAAAGACGAATGACCAAAAAACAGATCAGCTGTTTAGCTGGAAGACGGGAAAAGGAGAGAGCCGGAGTTTGACTCCAAAGTGAGGGTTTTAAAAACGAAGCTTACTCTTTGAGGAAGGTGAGCTGGGTGATGAACTGACATTAAAACCAAGTGTTTTTATTCATTCAGCTTTGTTTTAGTTAGTGGCCTGCTTAGTGACGTATGCTTCGGGAGGTGTCATCGTGACACAGCATGTCCTGCTGAAGAGAGACGTCGTGCAGTCTGCCTCACAGAAATCATGCGCCGTACAACGTGCCACTTTTCTGGAGTTCTCACAGTGACATGAATCATCCTGTGCAATGGCCAAAAATCACACAGATCATGAACACAGCTGATTTGGTTAATTTAGTGATGAACCACTCCTGTAGACACTAAGGAAGGCTGGGAGATGTTTCAGCTGTTAGATGAAGGTGTTCAAAAGACGAATGCCCAGCGAGGAGATAGGTTTTGGTTCTACAAATAGACACTAGGGCAGGGGTCCTCAATTATAATGGTCCGAGGGCCACACACAAAAAAGACCCAGAAGCAAGAGGGCCGTGGGTGGGGGTGCGGGGGGTGGGGTGCTGCTGCTTTTTGGATTGCTGGCTGTAATGCACATAACACACAAGCTCGCAACACCTTTCCCCCTCCAGCTCAGCTGTGTGACTGCACTAACCTGTCCTGTGGGACCCTCATCATGTCCATGCTTTCTCTGGAGGAGCAGACAGGAAACAAGATCTCCTGTAACTTAAAATGAACCAAAGCTTCCTCCCACTTTCTCTTTAAGCTGAATTTAACATCAGTTTATCTTCATTTAACAGAAGAATTAAGTGGAACAAGAACTTCTATCTTCTATTTCTCTCTCCTTTTAACTTCTCCGTGTCCCTAAATAAGAGAGAGGTTACGCTGCAGCCGCCATCACTCACCCCGCTCCCTCCCCAAGACCGGACCTCCCGACATCACAGCACTCGGTCTGACTGAGCGCTTCCAGGAGAAACAATAATGAAATTATGAAAATAATAACGCGTGTTTGGAGGAGCGTCCTCCGATCCTCTCTCTTGTGTGAGCAGACAATCTCTCTCTCTATCTCTCTGTCTCAGTCGCTGATCGAGCGAGCGGAGCGCACCGCGCGACAACCCGCTCAATTTACATAATTTATGGCCCAAATCCAACAGAACCGGTCGGGCTGATTCGATTCGGGTTCAGTCTCAGGTTGTAACTCCAGCGCTCAGCCCTGCAGTACCACATAAAGGCAGATCAAAGTTTCTTACCTGGTAAATATGGAGAACACCGCTCTGACAGATGTGGATGCTGCGCTGGTGCCGCCGTTAAAATAACACAACTACATTCCACTATAATTGATTATGGTCTTCCATGATGCAAAATCATTTATGCCCGCATCTCACGCATTGATTATTTGATTTTTTCCTCATCTCTATCCTAAACCTCCCGGTCGGTCGTCGGGGGTGGGGGTGGGGGGTGCACACGGGGTTTGGGGGCCACAAAGTGAGAGCTTGCGGGCCGGACGTGGCCCGCGGGCCGCCATTTGCGGACCACTACACTAGGGGGTGCTAAATGCATGCCAAAACTACCTTGGGTGTTTCTCAATGGTAAGGAACCTCACCTTGATGCCTTGGCCCCGCCCCGGTTGCCTAGGAGACATATCATCAGGAGCCGCCAAGACCTGTTCCAATATTCATGTTCTACCGAGGCGTGTGTTCTCCGTTTGTTAGCCGTTTAGCTAGCTGAGCAAGGATACATGGGAGGTGTCTTGTAGGTGTCTTGTAGGAGGTGCCTAGCCTTGGTCAAAAATTACCCAGAATACACCGCGGTATTTTCAAAAGGATGGCGGATCAGAAGCCAGCAGCTACTCCAGGGGCAAATTTCAAGTTTAAAAGTAAGTCAACTAATTAAAAATGTTTTTTTTAGATCCAAAGAAGTTATCTATGGTTGGTTAGTTGCTTAGTAGTTGCAGCTTCTGTGGCTAGCGGGTAGAAACTCGCTTATATTTTTTATTTAATAAACATATACACAATTTAAAAAGTAAAAGGCTCGTTATATATTTATATTGAAACTTCTACGTATAAAATATAATGTTATCTCTCGTGTCACATGACGTTACGTGACCGCCGTGGAAGCCGCGGTCACGTGATGCAAGTCTGTTCTATTTAACCGTTTCCTGTGACCAAGGAAGGACAGTGTCCTCGTAAGCAAGGTGCCTGTGTTACAACCAAGGGCGTCAGTTTGTTTTCAGAATTGCTGGGGACAATAACCATACACTTGAGTGGGGTTTAAAAATTGCTGGGGACAATAAAGTAGGCTAGCACAGGGGTCGGGCTCTGTAGCCGCATGCGGCTCTTCCATCCATCTGATGCGGCTCTCTGTGCTTATAAAATAATGAATGAATATTTAAATAAAAAGCTTTATATTTTACTGCATTAATTTTACATCTGTATGCTAATTCCAAGTGTAAAGATTGTCTGCGTAAACCTGAACAGGTCAACCCGGTCTTACTGTGAGACCGGGTTGACGCGTCACGCTTGTGCGTAATCATATGCGCTTCCTGAGCTGGAGGATGTCAGATTCTGGGATTCTCCTCAGACAGGTTCCTGGATGCGTCGCCACATTGGAGACAGGAACAAGCACTATTCAGCCAAAGTTTCATAATCAGGGAACATTTTCTAAGTGACAAATCTCTCTGAGAGACCGGGTTTGGAAAACTCTCGCTTCAGTGGGAGGAACCTTCCCGCATGCGCTCTGGTTCTGAGAGCCTGGATTTGTATTCTGAACAGTCTAAGCATGTTTTTAAAAGAAACGTATGACAAAAGTGGCACCTGCTCAGTAAAACCACCAACAGGGTGAAAAATATCAAAATATTGTATAGGCAGAGACGGGCTACAACTTCTGGATCATCTTTATATAAATCGTTTTATGATTATCTTCTTATGAAAGATAACTTTGACGTACACGAGCGACCAGGCGCGTTGCAAGATTTTCAAAAGTGTGGGAGATGTTGTCTGTGCCTAAAATAATTTGATGTTATTCACCTTGTTAGTTTAATTTCCATAATAGCGGTGCAGGTGCGAATTTTAGACGCGTCACGCATGTCTCCGTTTTAAACATGTTTAAACTGTTCAGAATACAAATCCAGGCTCTGTCTCGTTAGATTGGTGTAACTAAAGTTTGTACTGAATGAAACTTTACATTAAACCATGTTGAAAAGAAAAGGATCCGATTAAATCGTTTCCCCTCATTTTACAGTCGGTATAGCGCATTGCGCGTGGCTCTGGGGTTAATCAAGTTTAGTTGTTTCTCTTTGCAACAATCTTCACAAGAAGGCAAAACAGTTAAATGGCAGCTTACAGATTTTTCCATTTGACTGTATTTTGATGGATAAACTCAAGGATGCTGGCTGTTTTGAAAGAATTACCCCGACGCACACTGATGCGCATGATGAGCTTGGAAAAATGTTCTTTTTATGAAATTATTAAACTTTGGCTGAACAGCGCTTGTTCCCCTCTAATATGGAGACGCATGACGCATCCAGTCTGAGGCAGAACAGCCTCTTCAGCTCAGAGAGCACCTGTAGAGACATTTGATCACGCACAAAGTTTATGTGGAGCAGAAGCGGTCGGGCCACGGCAGGTGAAACGTTCCTAGCCTACATGAAGTGAAACTGTTTAATTGTAACATTAATATGTTACTGGACATGCTGGTCTGGTTGGTTAGACCAGTGTTTGAA